GTCCTAAATTACTGTATTGTTATTACTGGTCATAATATTTTGCTTGTGCAGTCCTGTCTTCCCACCCCAGAAGCTGTCAGTCCCCTGTAGAGCACACTGCTACCACTTACTATTGTGAAGAGGAGGGGGGAGAAGGTCAAGTCAGATGATGAAGAAATAGCTGATCTCAGCTCTGAAGAGAGAATATACCATGGTCCACTCACAGACAGAGTGCAACCTTTTTTTCCTCTTGGAGACCAGACTAGCTGCATGCATGTCAAAAACAGGACCCTACCCTTTGTTGTGGTTGTGTTGTGATGATAATGAAGATCATTATCATGATCATGTTGATGATGCAATGAAGATGCAATGCTGAGAGGAGGAAAAGTAGTGTTTAACGTAGGCTGAAGTTTATGTATACCTCCCTGGGGATAAACCCTGTTGAATACAGTGGGACTTGGGTCTGAGTAAGCACCAATTGCTCTGTGAGTCATGAACAGAATTGCAGTTTCAATCAAGATTTATTTTAATTTTGGTAATAATAATAATAATAATAATAATAATAATAATAATAATAATAATAATAAATAATAAATAATAAATAATAATAATTTTTATTTGCAACCCGCCCCTCTGCAATGCAATCGGGGCAGCATACAGCATTGTTAAAACAAAGAACAGTTAAAACATTCCTATAACCCACACCCTAACCCTCCCACCCCTTAAAACTGAATTAAACTCAAATAATATAAAAAGAAATTAACTCACAATACAATACAATACTGTGTGTGTTTAGACTTCAAAATAATAGGAAGCCAAAACAGATTGTATGGTTGAACAGCATTTGTACAAAACTGAGAAGAAAATATTAAGGAGGACTGTAGCAGCTTAAATAATTTGCTATCTGCCCCAAGACAAAGTACATCTTTTCCCATAGATGTAAAATATAACCATAGTAAATAAAGAAAGGGAAAACTAACTGCTTGCTATCTGTTCCTTTCTCCACTAATGCACTTAAAGTCAGCATTCCACAAACCAGTTGACAAAGCAATTCATGCTATTTAATTGGCATACTGCTCTGAGACCTATGGGTAAAGAAAAACTTGTGTTTTACATTTTTTAAAAATCAATATCTAGGAAAATAGTAATACTCACATCCCACTTTGAAAAACAGAAGCCTTGAGCAAAAGAATATGGATGCTGATTGAAGTTTTGCTCCAAATTTAGCTATGTTCACTGAAACCTGATAAATATCAACAGAAAAATAAATTGCAATGAACATATTACATGTGTTGACTCATTAAAATTTTATTACTTTTCTTTATCCCTGGTTAAAACATTCATTTCTGTGCTTTGCTCACTTTTAATGATACCCTATTCTTACCAGATCTTTTCATTCATATATGACTTTTCAGTGATTTTTCAGATAGCAAATCTCATGGTATAATTAGATATTCAGTTAGGGTACAAAGCAGTTTTTAAACAAGTATGGTTTAACTGGTGCACATTACCTCCCTTCTGGTTTCTAGTACATTTGCATCCCAGTTTGAAATGTTACATAAAAAGAAGGAGATCCTAGCAGCTGCCTGTATCGCTTCCTATTTGATGAAGGAATAGGCTAAATTCAGTGATAGAAGACAAAGTGGATATATTTGAAATATTGATTATATATAGCTTCTGAAAAATGGTAATGGAGAGTTCCTAGATAGAATCATAGAATCATAGAGTTGGAAGAGACCACAAGGGTCATCCAGTCCAACCCCCTGCCATGCAGGAACTCCCAATCAAAGCATCCCTGACAGATGGCCATCCAGCCTCTGCTTAAAGACCTCCAAGGAAGGAGACTCCACTACTCTCCGAGGGAGTGTGTTCCACTGTCGAATGTAGTGCATGTGATTCTCTCCACCTGAAAAGTTTGATTAATGCACTCCTAGTCTTCCTTTCCTGTTAATATACTGTAAAGTGTTCCCCTAGAATGAAATGAATTATCAGACCAGTAGAACAAGTGGTTTTAAAGAACAGCATTTATAATGCTGCATCTTCAGCAAGTAAGTCTTGACCTAGAAAACCATTTCAATAAAAATGACTAATTTTGCCAATTTGATATTTTTGCTTTGAATGTGTTTTTATACCAGCAGGCTAATCTGTTCTCAGGCATGCATACCAACTGGAGAACACAAGTAGCAAATAAACAACAGTACCAAAATTTGTCTGCAAAACAACATTCCCAGATTGTATCTTCTGTCTTCTGCAAAGCAAGTTAAATTAGGCCAATTCAAAAAAGAAACATATCCATGCTGATCTCTAAAGATTTGGGCATATTCATTGGGTTTCTTCAGAAAAATCTATTTCAATACAATTTTCAGATCTTTTCTTTTAATTGGCAGATCAATATGGAAGTGGGATGGAGCACTCTTATAAATGAACTCATACAAAACTGACACACAAAGGAAATACAGGAAGCCTCAACTTATCTGGCAGGTTAAGGATTACAGCACCGTCAGAAACTGGAGTTGGTCAAAAAGCAGAACCTGTGTAAGGAATATGAGGGAATTATGGTGGCTTGCTTGGAACTACCCACACACTCCCACAATGCTTGCAAAGCCTCTCAATTGGTTTGGTTTCCCCCCCGCCCATCTCAGCTCACTTTGCAAATAGTGTACACATGCACAGTTGAGCCCAAGCAAGCCTCTGTAGGGAAGAGGAAATGACAAAAGAGTGGATCTCTTGTCAGATTAATGGAATTGCCCTTAATTTGCAAGTGTTGAAAGAGTGAGTTGTCAGATAACTGGGCTTTGAACAGTGGGGGCTTCATGTAGAATGAATAGATACATCTTACTGATCTACCTGAAGTCCACTTATGTCTACAGACTGAAGGATCTTCAATGTAATTAAGGTCCAAACAAAGTAACAAGCATCTTCTGTGGAATTAAACGTGTTTGCTATTAACATGCAAAATGAAAGTGAAGTTTGTCCTGCTAACAAACCTTCAAAGACTGAGATAAATCTTTTAGGGCCAAAACATAGGATACTAAATTAGTAGCTGCCAGCAAAATGGCAGCCATCAAGATGATGGCTACACCCCACTCTCTCCCTGCTGAACAATTAGGAGAAATAGCTCATGCCCTTGTGGCATGGTGTCCTGTATTTTTGTTCCAGCAGCAAGGAATGAGTGAGATAGGAAACATGAATATTAAGGACTGGGTAAGTTTTTGTGGACTTACTGTGTGTGCTACCATTTTCAACAGTAGCTAGAGTCACAAAAATCTTCACGGGAGTATGACATCATTGCTTTATTAGAGTTTTGCTTGTATTAGAAGTTAGGATCACATCTAATTTGGTCTAAGACTTATTCTCTGTACAGCAGAATTCTCCTAAAAATTATTCTGGGATAAATAATTTACCAGGTGGTGGACCCTCAAATATCACTCTTGTAAAATTACCAGAGCCTGCCCTCTAAGGGGTTGTCCATCAGTCTCAAGCCTGGGTTGTGAAATCTCTGGACCAGTGACAGTCCTGACTTGGCAACTCTAAACCTAAGTTATCTGCACAGGTTCAGATTCATATCCATGTGATGGATTCCTCACTTTGTATTTAAATAGAGCTACCATGACATATGGGAAGAACTCCTCCATGTAAAGTAAATTCCCAAGCATTTTGGCTGAATTCAACATTGTAATCACAATCCCTCTTCTCCTCAAAGCAAAGGCTTTGTGAGGAGCCTCCAATGGTGTCTTTTGTTTTCCTTTGCTTTGTTTTGTTTTTTAGGGAGGGTGCTCATCAAAGTGCCTTCTGATGGACTCCCTGCTAAACTAGTAAGGTCGCTCTCCAGTCAAACATACTTGGAAGCAGTAAGTTATCAGATGGTGGCAGCACACTAATAAATGTTCTCACAGTATACATTTCCCACAATGTCTGTAGTGTAGTGACATCCCATGACATTATGGGAAAGTAAAGGGTGGCTTTCTCATTTAAATAAAGGAGACCCCCTGGACCATCATTGATGGGACCATTGTTGGTGGGGCTCAGGGAGCTCCTGATACCGGCTCCGCTCTGGTTGAATGGTTGAAATCAACTGTCGTGGGAAGCTGCTTTACACCATCATTTTCCCATGTGGGCCACTAGTTATATGACTCAGGCCTCAGTCAGGAGGACTATTTTTATTTATTTATTTCATATCTTACTGGATAGATAAAAAAGACAAACTGCTTTTCCAGATAATGTCAGGAGTTGCATATCCTTTTGTCCTGCTCCAATGTAGTAATGGGATATGTAGTAATTATGGTATGTTTTAGAGAAGTTGTAGAATTATGAACTCAGATGAGATTATTGCATGCTCAAATAAAACACCCTTTCCCCTACAAGATAAGGTTGTGTTACGGGTTTCTACTGGATGTTATCACATCACACACCAAAACACCTCTGATATTGCCAGGTGACTACAACCTATCTCCCAGCTGTGCTTAGCTGCCAATTTTCAAGTACTGAAGCTTCCCGTTCTTGAAAATCAGTGGGCTAAGCATGGTTGGGAGATGGGCTACCTGCGGGTTGCAGTTGCCCAGTGGCATTGGTGGTGTTTTGGTGTGCGATAACATCTGATAGCAACCCGTAATGTGATCTTGTCCCATTGGGGAAAGGACACTTTATTTGGGCATGTAATAATCTCCTCAGACACAAGTGCTGAGATAAACCAGGAAAGGAAGTAAAGTTGTTCAAGGTCATTTCTAAGAAAACATTTGGCTGTAACAACAAAGAAAAAGAGGCAGTGTTTATTAATAATGTGTTTATTAATTTTAAGGATTAAGAATTAAGCTCATCTGAAGTGTGAACTATGTGTATCTTTTTCAGGGGGTGGCATCTCTAGATGCAATATTTCTTCTTTTTATTGTTGTTGTTGAGTGCCTTCAAGTCATTTCCAACTTTTGGTTGGAAGGCAACCTGTTCATGGAGTTTTCTTGGCAAGTTTCTTCAGAAGGGGTTGAGCGACTGTGACTTGGCCAAGGTCACCTGGTGGGGTTCCATGACTAAACTGGGATTTGAACCCTGGTCTTTAGAGTCATAGTCTAATGCTCAAACAACTAAATCATGCTGGCTCCAGAAAATCTGAGGGAATTGAGTGAAGCAATGTCAGAGCCCATAATTAGGGAAAGCAAGAATTGTATCTGTGCTATGTAGAATTCTAATATGTTGAATCTGAAAAGTGTGGAAATATTCAAAAAGTGTCCCCTATCTTTCATTACCCCTTGGAGTAATCTCTGAAAGGAATTGTCATGGTTGAAGCCTATAACAGATGGGTAACTGGAAGGATAACAAATGGGTAAGTGGATTTTTTAAAAAATCAGCTTTTGGGGCACTGCCAGCCTATTCTAGCTAAAAGAAGGAGTTACAGAGACACTGAATGCATGAATAAAGAAGTTTACAGACCAGTGTGGATCACATGATAGATCTGCATCATATAAAAGCTTTTTGGGGTATGGACCCCAGAAAAGGGGTGCTGGAGATATTTGAGAAGCCTCCCCCAATATCCTCTCCCCCAGGGAATTGAAGATCGCCTGAAATAATCTGGCAAAATTGGACCACTGATTCCTATGTAGCTGAGCATCCCCAGGAATTATCATTCAGAAGTGTACTAAATAATCAAGCATTAAGAAATATTAAGACAGCCATTATTGTTGAACTATTCCCAAAGTAATAAAGGCTGCCTAGAATCTTTCCTATGCATACTCAGTCGGGAGTAAGTTACACACTGAACATATGGAGGTCACTTCTAAGTACACATTGTTCTTGTAATAGTCTTCCTATTTAAGAACATTTAAATGATAATGGATGGGGAAAGAAATTTGTCCTTCCTCTGCAAGTATCTGCAAATAGGCAAAATTAATCATAACCTGCCTGCCAATGTTGAGCCTCTCCTTGAAAACAGTTCTTGAGATCATGTTCACTTGTCTGAACTGTTCTGCTCTTGTTCAGTACTGAGTGTCTTTGCTGGCACAGAAGATGGATCTGAGCATCTTACCAGCAACATTAGAGGCCCCCAGTGAGGGCCTCCTTTACTATTCAACAGAAATGCAAAAGATTCCAGAAAAATGTGAGGGCAAATGGATAAATTGCATTGATTTCAGTGTTTTTGTTATATGTGATAACTGCTTTTCATGACCAACAAAAAATGGTTTTGAGAAAGACCCAAGAACAAATGGTCCTGGGTTGCTGGACTTCAGCTGTCATCATCTCTTACTGATGGCTATGATAGATAGATATGATGGGAGTTGCACTCTAACAACATCTGTAGGACTACACACTCCCACACCCATTTTCAAAAGAACTCAGAAGTCACAGGTTACATTGTAAAGTTTTCCTCCACTAGAGAGCATGTTCAGTTAAAGGCAGGAAATTCCCTTACTGTTTTCTAAAGAAGAAGTGGAAATTATATGGCCCTCCAAATGTTGTCGGACTGCAACACCCCCATCCTTTGCCATTTTCCAGCTTTCAAATTTGTTGCCTAGGTTTACTGGGAGTTGTATCTGGAGGGTTACTGAGCCATCCTCTGAACTGGCTTAGGAACTCTCTCTCTCTCTCTCTCTCTCTCTCTCTCTCTCTATATATATATATATATGTATATACATATACATATTTTCTATGTATCTCAGCAGATGACAAATACTAAGATTCCTTAAGATGGAGCCATGAAAATTAAAGCAATATGAAAGTGTGTTAACGGAATAGTGCTGATATACCTTTATATCAACTCTCTCTTTTTAAATGAAAGCTGAAAATGCAGGCCATGCACCAAGTGGGTTGGCTTGAATTTGAATAAAAATTTAGCCCAATCTGGAAATTTTGTTTTCTAATCTTGTTATTTTTTTATGGGCTTTTCTCTCCCTTCACACATATTTATTTATTTATATTTATATTATTCTATGTATATTGTTATACATGATCACAGAGTTGTCTCTGACAACACTGGCTCTTTGGCTTAGTAACGGAGGTTAGCACCACCCCCTACCACCGGACACGACCTGACAACCTTATCAATGGGGAATACCTTTACCTTTACCTTATTTATTTATATCCTGCTTTCTCCAAATAATGGGTCTAAAGATGGCTAACAACATAATTAAAAAAACAATATAGATTAAAAACTACAAAAACTTAAATAAAAGTAGAAACGAACCTAACAAGGAACCTATGATCTTTGATCTCTCCCCAGTTAAGCAGGGACTCCCATGCCAAATTCTGAGACCCAGGCAATTCCAAAAATCTGTACTTGATCGCAGAGTATGGGTCAGAGAGGAGGTCAGCCAGGAGCCAGAACTGGGAAAAGGTTCCTCACCGCCATCTGCACTCTCTCTTCTATGTCAATAGTCATAGCATTGAGAAATGCTTTACTGTCAGGCAATATCCTATTCAAGTATATATTATCAGGAACCCTGCAAGAAGAAAGTAAGATCCCAGGTGATGCAGGAAGCCTATGGGCATATGCCTCTTGTGCATGTAGGCTGCCCTCCGACAGTGGGTTTTAGGGTGAAGCACCATAATTCCATTTTCTCCACAAGTGCATTAGTATATCCATATTTGTTGTGTGAGCAGAACTTTTAAAAAAAGAAAGGAAGGACAGGAGACTCAATGAGGAAAGTTTATTGGCTCTCAGAACACAACTGTAGATTTCCTTTTTACTCTAACTGTACTGGCTATTTACAGAAATTCTTTTCATTTGGACTAGAGAACAGAATGTGCACCATGGGGTATTCAAGCACATCTCTTTATACTGAGCTTTTTACTAACAAGGTTCAGCAACATGTTTCTAACAGCAAAATACCTGCTTGTCAGTACTAGGAATTTATTTTTAGGTTTATTCATCACTCTTAAAGTTTTGTACTCTCTCCTCTGGTTCTAATGTTCCCTTATGGCAGATTGCTGCAGCCTTGAAAACTTTGAATGACAATAGATATATCAACAGTATTTAGCAAGTAACAGCATGGCTTGTGTTGTAAATTGGAAAGATTACAAATAAGTGACCTTTCACAGGCTGTGACTGGTTGCTTTCTGTGGCCATAATTCAGTGCAAGAGCACTGCGTGCAAGAAGTTCCAAGTTAAATGCTTGACAACTTCATCAGGCAAGGAAAGATTCTGGTCTGAAATTAGTATCAAAAATACAAACCTAGATGGACCAGGTTTTTGATGTGGTATGAGGGAACATCCTGTGGTCTTCACATTCTCAGGCTTGTGCCCTAAGGATGCTAATCTGGAAGTATGTCTCATTACTTCATGGACCTTCAGTGGAGGCTAATTCCAGGTGAGAAGCCCACTCCCTAGCAATGTGTCATCTAGGAGGCTGCTTCCTCTTGATACTCTAAGCTATCTTGCTGGGAATGGGTCAGAGTTGGAAGTAAATAGTTCAAACTAATGCATCCCAAACAACTAGTTACTTGTTTTCGTGCTATTATAACTATATTGCATTATGACTGTAACTTGATGAGGGATAACTTTTGAAAGGATGGAGCAAGCTTGTTTTCTACAGCTCCAGGGAATAGGACCTGGAGCAATGAATACAAACTACAGGAAAAGAGATTCCACCTCAACATTAGGAAGAACCTGCTGATGGTAAGAGACAGTGGGATACACTGCCTTGTAGTGGAGTCTCTTTCTTTGGAGGTTTAGAATAGTCTGGACAGCCATCTGTCAGGAGTGTTTTGATTGTGTCTTCCTGCATGGCAAGGGGTTGGACTGGATGGCCCTTGAAGTTTCTTCCAATTCTGTGATTCTATGTACTTCCTTCTGTAGTGGAATTATAACTTTTAAGTTTACTTTTATACCTATGGAGATGGGGATCTAACTAAACAGTGGAGGATGAATATTATATGGTTCCAGTGATGCCTCAAGCTTGGTTATGGATGATGAGGTGAAGGGGAAAGAAGTGCACAACCGGCCAGGACCCTGATGGAAAAGGTAGTCTTTGAAGCTATTATAAATGTTGATAGACACATGTGTAACATATTAATTTTCACTATGGGAGCTAGTGGCATCTCTTCATTTATACACAGACAACAATAATTACTTAGAGCCAGAGGCTTTGTGTTTTTGTTTGGAGGATGTAGCTTTGGATTAACCTCACCACTTGGCAACTCCATCTGTTTATGATGCAACAAAACAAAGGCATTTGATGCAGCTTCTTCTTATTGTTTACTGGTCAAACTCCATCCTCACAAAGGATGGAAAAAATGGAATCTCAAAGGGAGATCTTGTTAATGGAATTTAAATTTTATATCCTGGACTTTAAGAATCTCACAGTATCCCCACGGCCAGATGAAGGAGGGGCCTGCCTGCAAGAATACTCCTCCATACCATCTGAACTGAGAACAACTACATCTTGACAAAATGAAGGCCTATGACTAACATCATCTTTTTTTCCTGTATGATTTTTTAACACTTTTGTCTGATAAAGAAGCCCATGGAACTATGAAAGCTTGCAACATGTATATTGTGCATTTTGTTTGGCCCAAGTGTTATTATACTTTATGAAATCGCCAGCACTGCTATACCTGGATATGATCAAACTGAAAACTGTATTTCTCTTGGCAAACATAAATTGGCCAAAAGGTGTTTTTTCTGCAATGAACACTTGCTAGAAATTCATTGAGGAATATGAGATGGCTTTTTAAAAAATGATAAATTATTTTTCAGGTGAAATGCTTCTTTATATTTTATTTCCATGTTGCATAATTTTCTTATGACCAATTGTCTAAACAAATAAGTCTACTTTTTACGCTATCTTGGTAGCTTTCCAGACTCTGAGAGAAACTAGTTTGGCTCCTTCTGTGTTGTATGTCTGCCAGCATGCAAAGACTTTATTTTTTCTAATTTGAGCAGGTCTTTGGCAACTGCCCTAATTTGCTGTGGATACTCTAAACTGGACAGCTGCTTTATTTTTACTTTACAGGTAAATTTTAAAATTGTGTTTTAAGCTTTCAATGATTTTATTCATTTTATGTTTTAATTGTATTGGTATCCTTTTACCATGGCAAGTGGAGGGGGGAAGATGGAAAACAAATAATAAATATATAAATGAATAAATTATTTATTTGGCCAAAGGCA